GAGAGAGAGAGAGAGAGAGAGAGAGAGAGAGAGAGAGAGAGTTTGGAAGGAGAAAACCATTAAAAAAATTAAAATGATATTGGTTCATCTGGGCTGATAATTTAAAAATGTCCGCTTTTGTCTGGTGCATCCGGTTCTTTTTTTTTTTTTCCGAGTAAACAAGTCCTTACGCTAGTGGCTCCTTTTCTATTCTGGGGAGTGGCATCCGGTCTGATTTTACTGGTTTGACAGTTTGTTTGTTTGTTTGTTTTTTTTTGGGGGGGGGGGGGGGGTTCTTTCTGTGATAGCGAGAAGATTCATTCCCGCTTTACGTTTCTGAGGGGTGTGTGTGTGGGGGGGGGGGGGGGGGGGGGGGGGGAGGAGGGGAAGGGGGGAGAAATTGTAAATTTGTAGAACTGCCCTCACAGAAAAGGTCATAATTTCTCATAAACCATTAGGAATGTATGTATGCATGTTTTTGGGGTGGTGGTCAATATTTGATGTGCTGTTTCTGGATTTCCATGTTGCGTCTGTTCGAACTTATTTGGAATTCGTGTAATTGTGTTCGCTGCACCTTTTTTTGCTGTCACTTCTTTTCATGGCGTTAGTGCAGAGTCTAATTGGACTTAACCTAGTCTTTGAGAAAAGAAAAAAAAAAGAGAAGAAAAGAAATCACGACTGTTGATCGAGTTGTGGAAGCAGTGTGGTTAATATTTGACGTGCTGTTCCGGTTTTGGGGAAACGACGCAAAAAAAAAAAAGAAACCACGACTGTTGATCGAGTTGGACGCAGTGTGTGTAATATTTTATGTGCTCTTCCGGCTTTCTGACTTATGGTGTGTTGTGTTGGAAATTGGAATATGAGGGTGAAGTGCTTCGTCGCCCCATTGGGCTGTTTCCGAGGTGAACAGTTTCTGATTAAAAAAGGAAAAAAAGAGTGGGAATTATTTCAATTATTTGAGTAGTATGAGTACCTTTTTTTTTTGCTGATTTATGGTGTTCACTGAATCACTGTGGCTTTTTTTGTTGTCACCTTCTTGGGGGGGGTGGGGGCATTTGATGCAGAGTCTAATTGGACTTAGTCTTTGGGGAAACAAAATCACGACCGTCGATGGAGTTGTGGAAGCAGTGGCAGGCATGAATCAATTGCGGGCTCTTTGGCTGAACAACAACCCTGTTGAGAAGGAGAGGTGTGTGTGCTTGGCTCCCACCAGTCCCTATACATAATTGTTTTGGCCATACTTTGCGTTTCAATCAAGGAGTTGATGAATCGATTCAATTTTTTTGAAACGAGAGTCAAAACCCTTTCAGAAACTCAAATTTACCAATTCCATTAAGAACAGGCCCAAGTGAGGTTGACTGGTGACACAGCCCACAGGTCTGTTTCTCTCTCTCTCTCTCTCTCCTGCTCTCTCTCTCTCTCTCTGCGACTGCGATGAATTATTTTTACTAATTAATGAATTCTTTCTACCTCTGTTTGACAATACCTTCTTTCAAGCTATACTTAATGTGCTAATTAATTGATCAATTAACTGATTGATTAATTAATCGAATTTAATTCATAAATTCGTTCTTTCTTTTCTTATAAATCTATTTGTCCCTTTTTGGCTATGTTCTCCAGCTTTACAGTCCTCTTTGCTAGTGGGACCTCGCCGCAAGAGTTGAATCGTGATGTATGTATGCAGGAGTCTTTGGAGTACCCCCTTATTAAAAAAGAAAAAAAGAAAATAAGTTGTACATTAAAAAAAGAAAAAACTTGTACATACTACATTACAGATTAATAGCAGCTGTATACAAGTTTAACAAACACAGTTGTAAAATGTCCTTTTGGCTAAAAATAGACCATCTGTTTGTATTAAAAAAAAATCAAATAAAGTAAATTCAACTGTTGTATCTGTTCTGATCAGTTTGATATCTGATCTGTTGGGGAAAAAAAAAAAAAGAATGCAATTCAATAGCAGTTGTACCGGGCAGTTCTGTTTGTGACGATATATAGTCAAACGGAGCTGCCCGGCAAACCGTAGGCAGAGAGGGAGAAGAGGACAACAAACGAGGGGCTGTGGCAAACTGTTTCGTCGGAGTTTCACCGACTCATCAGGAGGCGGAACCCTCAACAGTCTGCAGAATCCCCTACCTGATTACACTGTAAGTGATAATCCAACTTAACCCCGGCTGTGGTTAAGCATCAACGACTGCCCGACAACTGATACCCTGAAGTGGGCACCAACCACTGCCCTCAAGGTACCTGTGGCAAAAGTCAAAGCAGACTATCACTCAACCCCAACCAGATGGAAAACTCTATAGACTGTCGGTTCACACCCCATCACAAGCAAGCAAAACACCCACGAAACAAAGAAAGGTCTGTCACGGCCAAAAATACAGTCCAGACACGCTGCTGGCACTAGAGGCACATATATATATCACATAGTAAGTGATGACATTGCAACAAGCATATTTTTGAGACCAGCACCAGCTCACGCTGGTCCACGCTGGTCCACAATACAGGCATGGTTTAGTTGTTTTTGCAAAAGTGTTGGCGCTGAGATTTGATCCCAGGTCCTGGTATGGCTAGAGATCGAGTGTTTTCAGTAGTTGGCGGTTTTGGGGTTCGAACGTGGGCCTAAGTTTTCACAGGCTACCGTCTTCTCCCGAACACAACGCACCCTCATCATGAATGTATAGAGGCTAGGTTTCCGGTCCGGTGCACTCAAAACGAGGGTGTGTTTTGTCCGGGGAAGATGGTAGTAAGTTTCAGCAGCAGTACCTTTGACATCTCATGTACCTTTGTGTACACTGGTTCACTCGCTTCACACTAGCATCTTCACCCAAATAAAACTGCTGGTCGGTATAGCTGTATTTGGTGCAACTTTCAGTCTAGGTACATTGGTATAGCAGACTCTTGGCCCCCCTTGTTCAGCCCTATAAAAGTAGGAGTGAGTAGGAGGGGGGGTTCATGTTTTTTTCACGCCTTGCTTTCGTGACGAACGGGAGCGTTTTGGTTGTCTGCCACCGCGAAGCGAGAAGCGGGCGCAGTCCTTCCACCGAGAACTCTTGAGGGCAGTATGCTCCGCGAGGACTTTTTTGACTCCTCTGTGGACGTAATTGCAGTCATATGCACGCAGTAGAAGCCATACTTCAGGTCCGATACATCCAGGAAAGTCCTACTGTCTTCACCTGAATATAATGTGCAGTCATTATGGTTGTATTTGGGCCAACTTTTGGTCTAGATTCAGTGATAATGACTGTGCGGTCTGTTCAGGTGCAGACGGTAGTGTGGCTATGCTCTGTTATCGGTCTCGTTTCTCCCAAATAATCGTGGAGGCGATTGGATGTGCATTGGCTGCAGAGGACTGAATGATGACACCATCAGTGATGTCGAGTCGTCGCCAGAGATTGATTGGCCATCCGCTGGACAGAGTGCAGGACTTCAACAGAGTTTTTCACTGAGATTGATCTGCACTTTCTGAAGAGTGGTTAACAACATTAGATATAGGTGGAGTTTTCAGACCAGCAAGTTCAGAATGCACATGATCAAATTTGGGACTACATACGGCCCAAATTCGGGACCAAATTCGGGACTGCATACAGCACAAGACCAAATCGGGGACTGCGCACAGCCTGCATGAGCTCAAAGTGAGGCCGTTTGGGCAGGCAAATGCACATGCAACAGTACACCGAGCTATGGACGATTTGCTCAGCAACTACCTCAACGTGTTTGTGGTTGTTCAACGTTGATGATATTGTTGTCTTCAACAGAACTTATGAGGAACAGATAGTGCATCTGCGGGCACCCTCACGCGAGGACTTTTTTGACTCAGCTCTGGGCGTAATTGCAGTCAGATGCATTCGTCGGCGGTCGTCATCGTGGCCAGATACATCCAGGAAAGTGTTAGTGTGAGTAGGGTTCGAGGTCGGTGTTCGGACGGTGGAGGAGCAGGCGAAGTACCAGATCATCATCAGGAAGATCGTTGTTTACTGACGAGGAGATAGCTTTTGTATTTGGTATGCGTCACCGCGGCAGGTGGCATAAGGTCATTGCGACAGGTGTCATAAGGCTTGAGGTGAGGAATGAGAAGGCTGTTGCAGATTGGCCAAGGCCCATGGCAGTAATGGAGGTGCAGTCCTTCCTACCGTCTTCTTGCCCGAATAGAACAGAACGCCCAGTCATTATGTCTGCATCTGGACTGAAAGTTGCCCCAAATACGGCTATCATGATCGGGCGTTCTATTTGGGTGAGAAGACAGTAGGGCATGGTGAACCAATATGAGAGGTTCATTGAAGGAGGACGGACGTCCGTGAGAACTGGAGCGATACAGAGAATGGTAGATTAGCAAATGACCCCTGTGCAAGGATCACACACGTAAATCCAGATATGGGTACGAGTTAAAAGGGAAAAAAGGGGGAAAAGAAGAAGGGGGATGTGCCTGAATAACTGTTGATGAATTTGACCAGGGGGGATGTTCCATTTGAAATGGACGGAGGAGGGTGAAAGGATGTGTCTCATTTGAATGGACAGAGGACAGTGAAGAGGCCTTTCGGTCCCTCAAGGACTGTGTCATCATCCACCATACCTGTCCTGAAGGTCCCAGATCCAGCATTCCATTCGTGCGGCAAGTCAGTATGGGATTAGAACGCTGCTTCAGCAGAGTGATGGCATGGGCCGAGACCGGTCGACTAACTCTCCAAGTGCATGCAATCAAAGAGGGGGTTGCTTGCAGCACTCGTGTGTGTGTGTGTGTGTGTGTGTGTGTGTGTGTGTGTGTGTGTGTGTGTGTGTGTGTGTGTGTGTGTGAGAGAGAGAGAGAGAGAGA